GAAGGGGTGAGGGAGGGGGTCTGCGAAAGCCACCTGGGAGGCAGCGGCAGTCGTCGTGAAGGTGCCGCGGGGAGGGGGCTGTCAAGCCACATGCTGCAGCGGGGTTGAGTCTCGACGGGGTACTGTCAAGCTCAACACAACAAGCCCCGGCCTAGCGGCTGGAGCCGGCTGGAACCCGGCCCCCTCCAGGAGATAGGCGGCAGCGCGCTGAGGCACTGGAGCGATCCCTTGGGGAGCCGATAGCAGAGCGTCGTGCATGGAGGGTTCCTCCTTGAGCGCGTCTGTGACTAATGCCTCTGCCGGGTAGGCGATAGGGAGAGGGCTGCGGTGGGATATGGCGAGGAGGAGGGGGGGGGGGCGTTCAAACACCGCACCTTTGACTCCAGCGGGCAGAATGACGTAGGTAAGCAAACACACCCGCGCAGACAATGTTTCCCGGTCCCGGCAGAGAGGACTGTGGAAAGGGAAGGCACTTAGGGGTAGCAAGTTCTCGCGGGTACGCGGAACGTAAAGAAGGGAGGAGGGGGTGGCAGAGAGCGTCCCGACCCCGCCTCATCGCTGAGAGACGCGCCGCCTCTACTACAAGTGATGGCTTACTGTGCCCTGAGCAGCAGGGGAGGGGGAAGGGCCTCTCCGATGCAATAGAAGGAGACATATTTGTCTCCACTTGAGCGAGGCGGGGACCCTTCCTCGTCTCCGGAAACAGATTGATGATGATTCGGTAAAGCAGCGGGGACGGGGAGGCGGCGGGGGGCGACGACACGGGCACCAGGGCGGGGGCGGAGACGGATGCGCGGCAGCGCAGCGCGTGTCGGCGATACAACTGAGAGGGCCACTCATCACCGGCAGATACAGAGGGCTGAGGGCGAAATGTCTTCGAGCAGCGGGGCAGAGAATCGACCCACATGTTGACAGGTTCCGCCCATGCATCTGCAGTTCGATATGACCATCAGAATTAAACGCACGTCGTCGTCTCGTAGCGGTGGTCACAAATATTTTATCGTGAATAGCATGGCAAGCCCTTGCTGTCACATCTGCAATCATCGCTGGAAATGCAGGAGTCACTCGCGCTGCTCTCGCGAGCAACGCAATACTTCCCATTTTCGTCACTCTCCTGTGAGCAGCGTTTGGTTAGTCGGTCTTGACTGATATTTTGTAATATCGCTTCATTTGAATGATGAAACGTGACTGAACTTCGTTCCGAAACTGTCACAGCGATGTGTCAGGATCATTTTGTTCCTTATTTTTCATATCAGCTATACTCCTGCATTTCCAGTGACCCGGACCGTATGAACAAACACTAAAAAATTGCCTCCTCTAAATTTTGATTGATTTAAACAAACTTCTAAGCGTCTCTGTTCGTCACGTTTTGCAGCGTGAAGGCAGGGTCCTCGGCCGCTCCAGGCAGCTTGGCACAGCGGGCAGATACGAGGCGCCATTGTGTTGGGGAGCGAAAGTTTTACCGTGTTGTCGGCTAAGGAATCTGAAAAACTGTCACCTGTCGCGACCCACTCTCCATTTCCCTCCGCACCCCACCCTACGCCGCACAGGCACATGGCGGCTTTCACGTCAGAGTGACATGGCGCTGCGAATACAAATATGAATATGCAGCAAGAGGAGGAGAAGGTTATTCGTTTCCTTTCGTTTAGCCGTCAGATATTCATATTTCGAAGTTGTTGAAGTTAACGCATTGAATCCACAGTAAAACGTGTTGCATCTAGTGTACACACCCACCCTGGCAATCTACGATAATCTTTGGCAATCTCTGGGCAATTCAGGGCACAAGAAGTGCGTTTATCCTAGTTATAGGATATTCCTTTAACAATCTGGTGTACACTTT